CTATGTGTTCTATTAGGCCTATGTATAACGTGTACTGATGCATATTTACATGTTTAGAAGTATTCATTTTGAGTGATCCCAGGAAAGAATTTGTATTGGCTCAAGAATAAGCTTTAAAATTTTAACACTGTATAAAAAGGTGGGGGGGGGGGGCTCCCACGGCTTCCCCCTGGATACGTACCTGTGTGATTGATCAATAACCTTTTCGTTTTTGGGGGTTTTTTTTACTCATTTTGGGGAGCATCGGCATTCTTGCTCTCTGCCATCATTTTATTTTATTTTATTTTTAAAAATTTTATTTCAATTACATCCAACGGCGGAATCGCCCATTACAGGATGTCGTTCTAAACATACAATATATAAAATATAGTAAAATACAAACAAAAACATACAAAGGTAACAAATCGACATTATCATTAAATAAACGAGGCTTTCAAACCAGGGGTTGGTCCTTTCATTTTCCTTCTTCCTCCCTGTTCTGTCTATTAGTAGGTCGGCCCAATACAAGATTGTCTAATCTTTTCTGGCACCACCTGCCTACTTCCTTTATAATAAATTTTAATACTACTTTATGCAATAACATAATAACATTTTCCTATGCCCAACCAACTCGAAAACCTAGGGTCCTGTTGTTTTTGCAACATGCATAGCCTGTTTTCTTTAACAAGTACTACTGTACTAAGGTACAGGGCTACATACTAATGCATCAGTCACATAATAAAATCAAACCTATAACAATTAAGCCAATATGATACTGTAGTTGATAACGGCGTACATATTGTAAAACAACCATCTGGTAACAGCCTATGTAACCAGTGCTTTAATAAACCCACCCTATACAATAACTAGTAACTCACTGCTTTTAATAAATCACCTAATAAATAGTAATATAAGTATAAGCCAGTGCTTTTTAGTTAATAACCCACTCGATGAATTGTAACCCAGTGCTCTCTTAATTGCTCACCCTACTATTCATGCCTCCATGCTATTACCATGGAAGTATAAAATGCTAATATTAGCATTTTATACTTCCATGGTAATAGCAGTATATTATACTGTACTAACATGTGAAAGCTTTCGTTCCGCCCTTCTGCGAGACGAATGTAGCAGCAGAGCGAGGCTCCTGATTAATTATTCATAATTATGTCTGACGTCATCGTGGGCTTCCTATGTTCTGATTGGCTAAAAGAGGTCGATATTGCTTATGTGTACTGCAGAAAAAAAAAACGCTTCCGGGCGCATAACTCAAAATCTACTGGACCGAACAACCTCTAATTTTCCTCGAAAAGCGATCGACCATGTGTCAAACTCATGGCCGGCGGACTGGTAGCAGTCCGGACGGCGTGCAGCCACCGCGTGGAAGCCCGGTAAATGGGCTTGCCACCGCCTATGATAGGCCTCGTTTGGCGGATGGATTGGAGAAGGTGCAGATTTTAGAGTGTTGTTAATATTTTCCAACTGTATATCTTACAATCTGCTGTCCCAATTTTATACAAAGAAAATTGTGAATAATAATAATAGGCCTAGGCCTATATGAAAAAAAAAGTATTCTATAAATGCACAAATAATAATAATAATAATAATAATAATAATAATAATAATAATAATTATTATTATTATTATTATTATTATTATTATTATTATTATTATTATTAGTAGTAGTAGTAGTACATTTATAGAATACTTTTTCGTATTTTATTATTATTCACAATTATTTTTTTATTATCTAAAAATAAAAAACAATAGGGAGATTCTAACCCCCATACAGTCGAAGAACTTTAACACAAATTACGTGCATCTTCACCGCTCGGTTACACATTTTTATACCTCAATGGTTACACCTCACCTGATAAGTATGCATGTTTAGTTATATTATACCAATATAATAAAACAACCAGCGAGAATCGACTATAGTATATATGGCGCAAAATCTCAGATTATCTTGTTGAGTTTGTTATGAGGCCTACTATAATTATCGTCGTTCCACATCATTATCATAATTATCGCCATCATCTACTTCCCTTTCGTTGTCACCTTCATCAACATTATTAATATTATCATTATAATAATAGTGGTTACCGTCGTTATTATTAATTAAGCCTACGTGTGCTCTGTTACTATATAAATATATCAACTTCTTTTCCAATAGGTGTAGGGGTTGATGACATGTTTATCTTGGTTGCCGCTTGGAGAAAGACGAGCATTAGAGCGCCAATTGAGAAGAGGACGGGTGAGGCAATGGAAGAAGCCGCGCTTTCGATTACCATAACCAGTCTGACTAATACCCTTGCTTTCGCTTTTGGTAGCATTTCACCATTTCCTGCTGTACAGGCTTTTTGCTTATACACAGGTGTAGCTGTTATGTTTGACTTTATATATCAAGTAACATTCTTTTCTGCATTTATGGTTCTTACTGGAAAACGCGAGCGCGCAAATCGACATGCTCTTACTTGTAAGAAAGTAGTCCCGAAGAGTAAAGCACCTTCAACTTCATACCTATATTGCTGCGCTGGTGGTTCGGATAAATTAGATATTGGAGGGCAAGAGAAACATCCACATGTCATCATGAAATTCTTTAGAGATGTATATGGAGAGTTCTTGATGAATACATGGACAAAACTATTTGTATTTTTTATCTACGTAACTTATATATCAATTTCTATTTTATACATGCTTCAGATGAAAATAGGTATTGAAAGACGGTTATTAGCACCAAAAGGGTCTGGAATTGCTAGTTATTACGCGCAAGAGATTGAGAATTTTGATTTATTTGGTGCTCAAGTTTGCATTTTCTTCGACAAAGAACTCAGTTACTGGGATATGTCAACTCAACAAAATCTGGAATCAGATATTAATCAATTTGAATCTACACATGTGTTTCATTCGGCGAAATTTACGACATTCTGGTTGAGAGATTATATGCAGTATCTTAAATTACATAATTATACAAAATATGGGAAGGATAAGTTTATTAATGTTCTTATAACGGAGTTTCTGACTGATCCGCAATACAAGCAGTATACTCTCGATATTGTATTTAATCAAAGTAACGATACAATAATCGCATCCCGTGCTTACGTTTCCTCAAAAAACATAAGCGGTGCCGATCGCGAACAAGATCTTACTCGGACAGCTAGAGATCTCGCTCAGAAGTCTGGTTTTCCAATGAATGTCTTCGCACAAGATTTCATATATTACGATCAGTACTTTTTCATATTGCCAAACACAGTGAAAAACATGATATACTCTGCTATATCAATGTTATTTATATCTTTACTTCTCATTCCAAGACCACTGGTTTCTGTTTGGGTCGTCTTGACAATAGTTTCAATCGAAATAGGAGTCCTGGGATTCATGACGTCATGGAATATAAACTTGGATTTCCAGTCGAGTATCTTTGTAACTCTTAGCACTGGATTCAGCGTCGATTTCTCGGCTCATATCGCGTATACATACGCCGTTGCTCCGTACAAGCTCGGAAACAAACGGACAATATACGCCCTATACTCTGTAGGAATGCCAATGCTGCAAGCAGGTCTATCTACCGTTCTAGGACTGCTTGCCCTCAGCAATTCAACCACATACATTCTAAGTGCAGTCTTCAAAATTATATTTCTAGTCACTGTGATTGGTGTTATACATGGGCTTGTATTCTTGCCGGTGTTTTTATCAGTCTTGGGGTCTTGGAAGAAGATTCGCCAGATTGTTATGCGTCAGGACCCTATCGAACTTCAGGAATTAAAACCACGTGATGTTTACGTAGTGGATAGTAACCCAAATTTAAAGGAAACAAACCCTGACAACACCTATGATCTAAATGGAAAAGTACAAATATTAGACGATTTTGCTGTTTTCGCTGAAACGTATTTATAATAATCTTAATTATGTAATACAATTAATTTCGTTAAAACACAACAGAACAGTTACCGTACTAGCCACTTATATAAGCATTTTCTATGTGCCAAAGAAAGCAAGCTTTATATTTAGTCGCATAACTCATCGCTTCATTGACACAAAGAAAGTCAGCTTTATCTATTATTCAATCAATGATCCGAAAAATGCACGTATTACACACTGATCTTCTATCAGTGAAAGCTTTTTCGATAAGCAAAAAAAAAAAAAAAAATATCCTACTAATCATTCTCATCCATCATCATCCTTATTCCTGTCTCTTATACACATCTCTGAATTGTTTAAAATAAATAATTATAAATAAAATTCAGTATAAATTTATATACAAATTATTTTTGTAAAGGAACAAATAGTGTTTTATTGGTACTTGAATATATACTTAAAATAGTATTTCTGTTAAATACATTTTGGTGTTGATTAAACATCCAATTTTAATGGAAGTTCATTTTTAAATAAAATTTATTAATGCAACTGCAATGTAATATAAATTTATGGTTTGAATTAAATCTTTCGAACTGCATTAACATTTTCATATGTAATTTTAACAGGTTGTATATTTTTCAAATGGAAAAGAAATTTAAAAATCCTTTTAAATAAAGTTTTGTTTACTTTAATGTTTGTACTGTTTTAATATAATGTTGTATGTTCCGTTTTGATTTGTTTCAGCAAAGTGAAGCTGACTGTAAATTTACGACTTCACTACGCAATATAAATAATATATGTTCCATAGCTTGTATTATTATTATTATTATTATTATTATTATTATTATTATTCGCGAAAAGGCTGTGAGGTATAAGGGCACTCCTGTATAATAACGTAAGTTTAAAAGACGTCTTCTGTCTTGTCACCCTCCCATCTTTTGAGAGACTTGAAATCCAAAAATAATATTAGAGAGCCTGAAGAATTATTAGCCTGGGTGCAGTAGGAAATTAGCGGGAAAAAAGTAAAGGAAAATTTATTTTTGGTTTTTCTGAATCAGTATATCATATATTGTCTCAGAAAAAAAATCCCCATTCTTAGAGCTTGGGCAATTTTTTTTATAGCACTTTAAAATTTTGACATAGAATATCCTATTTTGGGCTAATTAAGATGGGGATAGGGGAAATAAATGTGTGTTTTTAGTCACTTTTACATATGCTATGTATATCAAATGTAACAAGAACTTGGCTAAATAGTTACTCCTCACTCTCGTTAAAAAATGTAATCGGAAAAATGACGTCATTACAAAAAATTCCAAGATGGCTGCCATTTTGGCGGTAAAACACTTTTAAAATGTAAATTTAACTTTATTACTTTATTGTTATCAGAGCAATTTCAAAACAATATATATCCATACACACATACACACACACACACATATATATATATACATATATATACATATATATATATATATGTATATACATATATACATAATACATACACACACACACACATATATATATATATACTG